CAATCGATTGTTCTTCAATTTCCAGCTGGTTCTGATAATTACAAACCGTTTTGCAAACATGTGAATCTGTCAGATAAATCAATGCTTATTTATTCGGGATTATTGGTGTTTTTACAATATCTAACGCCTCTTTCGATTATTTCATGTGTGTATGCGCGAATGGCATTAAAATTATGGGGAAACAAAGCCCCCGGAAATGCCGAAGATTCTCGAGATGCGAATTTAATGAGAAATAAAATGAAGGTATAATACAGTATGATCTGTATAATTAATTAATTTATTAATTTATAATTAAACGTAAATTTAAGTTGATATGATACTTATACGTAACATTAAATTGTTGCAGGTAATTAAAATGTTAATTATAGTTGTAGCTCTTTTTGCAATTTGCTGGTTACCGCTTCAAATGTATAACGTATTCCAATATTTTTATTCAGAAATTAACGAGTAAGTATATATCATCGTATTTACGCAATATTTAAGAAAATTGTTTTATAAATATACATAAAATTTAAAAACGAATCACAAAGAAAAATAATTACAGATACAAATATATCCATTATATATTCTTTTTTTTCGACTGGTTGGCCATGTCAAATAGTTGTTACAATCCATTTATTTACGGAATATATAACGTAAGTATCGACAAATTAGAAATATTTCTAATTGTTTTGATGATTTTATAATATTATCAAATTAAATAATAATTAATTTATATTCTCAAGCGTAAAATAAACTTTTAGGAAAAATTTAGAAGGGAGTTTCAACAAAGATGTCCTTTTAAATTGCGAAGGTGGACAAATAAACCACCAATCGATATCATAGATATGGAAAAAACACAAAGTACTCGAACCTCCATAAGGTATTCCTTCAATATAATTATAAAATTTTATAATTATAAAATTCATATAAAATATTCCTAATAAAAATATAAAATATTTCCTATTTATAAATTTTCTAAATATTTATAGATATGAATGGAAACGTACAATTTCTGGTACTTGTCCAAATATTTCGTCTTTTCATAAAAGTACATCAAGAGAATCGACACAATCGTTTATCGATAACCAGAAAAGTGGACGAATTAGAAAAGGAATTGGTTATTATATTCATCGTGGTAATCATTGTTCAAAAAGAAACGAAGAATTGTATGTTTTTTCATCTGGAAGACATAAACACTCTCAAGATCTTAATACAAAAGAATTATGCCTATAATATATAGAACTAATTAAATAATTGATTAATATAAATAGTATTAGAGATAAAAAAACTACACTGTTAAGAGTGAAAAATATTTTATGCAAATAATTTGCATATATTATATGCAAATGATAAACAATAGGATAGTAATAGGATAATAGTTTTCCTATAAATTGGTATGGGATAATTTTTCCACAAATTTTACAGTAACTTTTGGATACTTAAACATCTAATTAATTCTTTTCTTTTTAGTTTTTCTAACTATTGCTCAAGCTTTTCTACAAAGTTTATGTATTTAATGATGATAAGAATTATGTATCTTTAATTAGATGCATAGTATATATATATGTATATATATAACATATATATACATACGAATTTTGCATAATATTTAATTATATTATATTTAATAATGAAATAAATAACAATTTCTCTCAGAACGAATTACTATACTTACAGTATAGTAGAAAAAATTTTAAAAAGTTTTAATACAAATGGTTAGTTGTAAAAAAAAATGCAATAGAAAATATTTTTAAAATAATTAAGACTATTGTAAAAATATTTTATACATTACAATACATTCAATTTTTTTTCACTTAAATAATAAATTTGTTAGAATCATATTATTATTTTTCTTTAAAAAATTCTATAAAATATGTAAGGCTGTGAAACATGTATTAAAATAATAACTTTTTGCTAATTTTAATTATTATAAGTTTGGAACTTTTCTATGCATAACTCATATAAAACAACAAACAGGGTAATGAAAATTTTGATCTTTGAACTTATTTGTTTAAATAAATTTGAACTTAACAAAAATTTTAAATGAAAAGAAGCATATTATTATTTAAATATAATTAAATGTTAAAATCAATGTAATTATAATGTTAATGAAATAACAAAATGTTTCTAGTCAATAAATAAATTTTTGTTGAAACATTATATGAAAAAAATTTGTAATAGAAAGATTGTTTTCCTATTACATAAGATATTGATGTATAATTTTCAATAGATAAATATTATCAACATTTGATAATAGAAATTTCCATTGATAATTTTTTTTATTTCCTACATTTCTTCTTTTTCTTCTTCATTTATTGTTCATGTTTTTTTAAGATTCACACTAACAAAAGCTAAATACATATCTAAAATATCAAATGTTTTATTTATTATAAATATTTATTATAAATGTTTTATTATAAATATTTATAAAGATACATTATTATATTTTACATTATTATATTTGTATTTTAAAAAATTAAAATATTAAAATACTAACAATAAAAAATACAAAAGATTATTTGATATAAAGTCATTTTAAAAAATAAATTTCCATTTTATATAAACATTGCTTATATTTGAGTTAATTGTCTGCAAAATATTAATCAAAATTCATATTATTACGTCGCTCAATATCTTTAATTTCTAACATGTCTGTTTTAAGATGTAATTTCATTATTTCCCGCCAAATATCCAATCTATGTTGCTCATTATCAATTCCAAGTCTCAATAAAATATTTTCATTTATCCTTAACAAAACTCTTCCAGTGATATCGTGCTTAAAAACACATGAATATTGATCATACATTTAATGTTATCAGAAGTACAAAAATATAGTTGAACTTGTGTTGTTTATATATGTTTATTACTTACATATAAAAACTTTTCATGATATAATTGATAGTAATCACTACAATGCCTTCTCAACCATTTTTGTACATCTAATACATTCCATAAATAAACTGGACGGGGTCTAGCAGTTTTGTTCTACAATATTTCAATACACTTATAATCAATATAAATATTTTTATATTTTTAATTATTATATTTTTTTTAAATCCATTAAGATGAATATAAAAATATTCATATTTCAATGATATTATAATTATTTTAATAATAAATCATTATCACAACAAAATTAACCTCTCATACCTTTGGTTTATTAGTAGAATTAACTACTTCTTCTACCATTTTGTATAAAATCCAAAATATAAATTTTTGAAAAAATATGAATAAAATAACAAATTACAAAAATATAAAAATAGCACTTGATATCAATTATTAATAGTATTCATCAACAGCACAACTAATATATATATATATATATACGTAATATATTACGTTTATTTAATATAATCATAATTATATATTTAAATATTCTTTATTTAAACATCTCTCGATATTATTGAAATACACAATATATATAAATTAATCAAAGAAAATTAAAAATATTTAAATTTATTGCAAAATTATATTACTTTCATTTCTCATAGTATTCTATTTATGGATTTAACTTCTCCATTTTGTAACTATATAATATATCAATTTTAAAGTGTAGATATATATTATATTACTAAAAATTCAAAATTGTCATATTGTATTTTTAGTTGCTTTAAATGAATATTTTTATTTAAAATTTTAATTCATATTAATGATGAAGAATCAATGCTTTCAAAGTTTAATAATAAAAATTTTATCTAATAAATTTTTTTAACTAATGTAACATATTTTAACTTTCTTAATAAATCGTTCTAATAAAGATAATTTTATATAAAATTAGAAATCTATATCTATTTATCTATATCTATTATCTATATTTATAATTAATATAAAATTATTTATATTTACATGAAATATTTAACATAAAATTCTATATGAAAAAGAATTCTACAGGAAAAAAATATTTCATGTTTCTGAATTATAATATTACATTACCTTAATACAGCAATTTTTTCTTTAGAATCCTTTCAAAACTGCTAATATCACAAATATCACACACACTTAAAATATTAAAAATGGATAAATATTATTTATTCATTAAAATGACATTAAAATGACAAATATTTGAAACGCGCGAGAGAATTCAAACGTAATTTGAAACTGAACTGCCAACTTAATATAAACGGAAATACACTGATTTGACTCGCCAACTTCATTTAATGCCACCTTGTTTCCGATCCTTCTCCTCTAACTAACGAAACAAAATGGTAACTATTTCTTGTTTATCGTTTATATTTAATGTATTTTATTGTGTGCATTTTATCTTCTTAATATCCAATATTAAAAAAAATAATGTAAAATATAATTTTGTATAATATAATTAATATTAATAATAACAATATTTGTGAAATATCAGTGTTCGATAATCATGAACCATGTGCTTGTCACGTTATATATGTATTTGTAAAATATTTTTTATTAAAATATACTCTAAGATATATATAAAAAAAAATGCTTTCGTGCATATTAAAATATTCGTTGAAATTCTAAATTTTTAATATTAAATTTTTTATGTATTAAAAAATGTTTATCTTAACCTTTATCTATTTTATTTATAATAATCATTAAATTAATTATTAATGTTTAAAATGTAAAATACTTAATATTATAATAATTAATATAATATTAATTATTATAATAATTATTGTTATATATTTTTTTTTTTTTCAGACTTGCAAACGTAGAAACGGTGGACGTGCCAAACACGGTCGTGGTCATGTAAATCCTGTCCGTTGTACTAATTGTGCTCGATGTGTACCGAAGGATAAAGCAATTAAGAAATTTGTTATTCGTAACATTGTAGAAGCTGCAGCTGTCAGAGATATCACAGAAGCAAGCTTTTATTCGGCATATCAACTTCCAAAGTTATATGCTAAGTTACATTATTGCGTTTCTTGTGCTATTCACTCAAAAGTAGTCCGTAATAGATCTAAAGCAAATCGTCGAATCAGAACACCGCCAGTTCGTAATTTCCCTAGGGTAATTATTAAAATTATATAATTTTATTGTTAAAAATTTCAATTTTATCATACATTTTATTATTTAATAGTTATTAAATTTATTAATATCTCATTCTTTTTCAGGATCTTCGTCAAGGTCAACAAAGCAGAAAATAATTTACTATGTAAATTTTAAGTAAAATAAAAAAATAAAATCGATCTTAACTGTTTTTTTATTCATATCATTTATTCTACAAGTTATAAGATAAATTATATTTATAACTTTTCTATAATTTCTAAACAAGATAATCTTTTATATTTATTATTACATGATCCAAAATTTAATACAATATTACTGGAACAATGTAAAAATTATATAGATTAAATTTCTTACATATGCATATTTCTTCACAATGCACGCAAAGAAAAAAACTTCAAGTGCAGTCTTAATATTAGCTAATACTAATAAAAGTTTTCAAGATGTGATGTCAAATACCAAGTAGAACTTTGCATCTATTATTTGTCGATAATGCATAAAATTGATAAAAATAGTTTGCATATAACTGTAGCAAGAATCTCGCTATTGTTGCATTTTTTGTAAAATTAATATACAATTAACAATAATTGTCAAGGAATCATTTATTTGCTTCCTCCATTGCTTTTTTAAGCGTTTTTTCAAATATTTTCTTAGAATCACAAAACCCTTGCTTGGTTTTACCAAATGAATTTGGTCCAGCAGAGGTTGGTGTTTCTCTTCCAATATTTCTCATCCTCATTCTTGCTTCTGCTGGCATTTCTTCAGGTTCATCTTCTTCATCTGCATTAAACACAGATGCTACTGTTGGCCTTTGAATTGGTGTTGCTTTAACCGTGGGTTTCTGAAACATAATTTTTTATGAAATATAAATAAAGTAATAAAGATGTATATGTTTAAATTTATGTATTATTACTTACTGATGTTGAACCTAGTTTTATTTGAATACCCTTTTTTTGTTCTGCTCCACTTTTCTTCCCAAACCCAAACGCCAGCTTCTGTTTCTTTGCATCACTTTGATTGTAATTAGCCTCTTCACAACGGTCATCTGATCTAAGTGGTGAACGATCCCTTCCTCTGTCATCTCCTCTGGAGTCCTCTGCTCTGTACACACTTGACCCTGACAACGTCAAACACTGGCAAAGTTCAGATCAAGTTAAAATAACATTGTATCTTTTAACCGGAAATATTTAAGCGGCATGCTCAGCACAAGTTTCTTGCAATTCTGGATTAAATTCAAATCAAATGAAGTCAATAAATGATGATGAAGAAACGAGTGTGCATATAACATACACATCCTGAGGTTATTTATAACAATACGAAGTGCGATATATTTACTTGATAATTTTATTACATAAGGTTAACATTCATTCCATTTTTACTATACATCCTTTGGCACATGGTTGAAGGATGCGTGCACCCAAAAAATGGTACATGAAAAGTAAGAAATGAGATTTAGAAAATAAAATACGACTTTAATATTTATTTGTCCATAAAATTGCTTCATAATTAATTTTCTAAATTAAATATTTAGAACTTGCATTATTCGTAATAATGGACATGAGATCAATAACGAAAACAAATTAAGAATAAACTGTCCACATTTTGCAAGGTACGAAGTAAATGTTATTTTACCAAATGCGACTGATACGGTTATAAATAAAATGAATAAAACCTTTTCTATATTCGTCTCCTGGATTCCTCTTCGACATTTTTCTGATTTTCTTTGGACGTGATGCGAAATCGACCAAACTAAAGCAATTTAATCCAGCAACTGCGGTTTACTTCACACTAGTATTCTTATTTCTTATCATAGGGAAATTTAAGAAGATATATAAACGACTAGTAATTTTTTTCCTACTAGAGAAATAATAGATAGAATTTAAAAAAGAAAATAAATAAAACATTAAATATTAAAACATATTCCTAATAATTACAATATTAATAATATTTATAATTTTTACTATGAAAATTATTGTAAACAAATTTTGTTGATTTAAGTTTCCTTAAGTCTTTCTTTCATTGGTTAATTAAATTGACGCTTCATATTATATGATTCAAATACTCATATATATAAAAAATATTTTAATCTTTTTAAATCTTAATTATAAATATCTTATATATATTTTTTAACGAATAGATTAGAATAGATTAGAAATTTATCAATAAAAGTTAATGTAAGAAAATCAATATTGAAATGATTAAATATATATATATATATGTACATATATATGTGTATGTATATACATATACATATATATATATATATATATTCTAATCTTATTTTTCTTGTTGATATAAAAGTATAGGTATAAGATCAGTTATTGAAAAGCTACGAATGTGAATATATTTCTTTAAAAAATAAGAACGAATTGCCGATAGCGAATTGTTAAAAAATAATTAAATAAGTTCATTAATGAAATCGCAAGTATAATAAATATATTAAGTACATTAAAAAAGAAAGTTCAATAATAAAACAAATAACAATTTATTTAAAAAAATCAAAATATAGATAAAAAGTTTATATATTACATTATTAATTTTGAATTTGATATTTTTTATTTAAGAATGATAATAAAGGAAATTGGATTTCTTCTGGTAAGATTATTATTATAATTTTTTTAATCTAAAAAAAATATTCTTCAAACATTATTAATTTGATTTTCTTTCATGATACATTAAATTTTAATATTACAAATGATTATAAATATTTAATATATAAGTATTTACTATATTCATAGATAAGATTAAATTATGTTTATCATTTCAATTTATTTCCAAATCTTTCGATGAATCTTCGAATATTATCTTTGATTTTTTTTATAATCAATTTAAAATTAGAAAAATAATATCACATTATGTATTGTTTTTTTTATAAACTATAATCAAAGTAATAACTCATATATTGAATAATAGATATAATGCATTTTTTGTTATATTCAACTTTTTTTCATGAAAATTATTCATATAAATATTGAATTATAATTTATTTTATATTTTATATATAATATATAATAATTGGAATTTTTATCATATTATTTTAGCTTATATTTCCAGTACATTTAAAATCTTCTGATATATCTACTATATATAAGATGAATCCCAATTTTTTGCCAGGTACTAGAATTAAATAAAAATTTATAAAATTAAAAATAAATATAAAAAAAATATAACAAAACCTATTGATTAATAAAAATATTTTTCAAATTAGTTCCAATTTGCAATCGTGAACATTATTGCGAGGAAAATACATTGTATTATCCAGAAAAAATAATATCACAGGAACTAGAAAAGTATCCTCACTTTCGATATTATGCAAATACAAATGAGGTTTGTGAATTTTAAAAATTCAAATACATTATATTTTATTAATTAGATATAATAAAAAGTTATTAATTAATTTATTAATGATATCTTTTCTTACATACTACTTTTTTTTTTAATAGATAATATATCCTGAATTTGAAGATAAATCAGAAGAAGAATCACTTTGTATCTCTAGAGTAAGTCATGAAACAGAAAAAACTATAGATTAATAAATTGGTTAATACATTTGACTTTATCCATTTAATCGTTTATAATTAGTACTTTTCTTACTATTTCGTAGGAACAAATTATATTCCCCAAATCAGGTCTAACAAAAGAATTGGAATGGAAATATATCGTAAATCACATAAACTTGACGCAAGCTATACACACTGAGATATGTCTGTAAATACGAATTTATATATTTAATATGAATATATTTTATAATGTTTATAAAATTAAAATTTAATTGATAATATATATATTATAGGGAAAAAGATAGACCGTGTAGAATAATTGAAGGTTTCGCTGAAGGATATTATACAAAATGTAAGCAAAAATTCACATATCATCAACTTTTGGCAGTAGCATCAAATGGTTCGATAATACCCGAATTATTTCGATTTCCAACAAATTGTTACTGTCACATTAATTTTGAATCTGATAGATTTTTGCGTTCATTAAAACCTAATAATTAATGAGAGTAAATGATGTAATATTAAATATGATATAAAATTAAAAGGTATATATATTATATTACTCAATTTCTATTTATGTAATTTGTAAAATAATAAAATGCATAATCTATATAATAAAAACTTAAATCTATTATTATATTATAATTAAGTAGTCAAATCTATTATTAGTCAATTACGCGAAATGCGAAACTATTTATCATAACAAAAGTGTTTAATTTTTTATATTTAATCTTTCTATATTGACAAATGTAATTATTTTTATTTACTTTACTCAACTTTCCATTTACTAAATATTTATGTAGCACACATAATTATAATTTTCAATAAAATCTTTATTTTTATCGTCTTTAAACATCGTTCTAACGTTTCGCCTTTCACGTACATATTTTTTTTCTCTCTTCGATGCCTCCTGTCTGACTTATAACCGCTGTATCATCTTATCGATTTCTCTCACTTCAAAACAGTTTGTTTCTTCTTTATGCATGCTAAGTTTATTTTATTAATAGCTATATTAGCTCAAAATACATATATTGTCTAGTAGCGAGTGACGTTTTAATTTTTATCTTTATTTATTATGTCTAGTAATATGAAAATGAAAATTAAGTTTATCGTGAAAATAATCATATGATAAGATACTGTACAACAGTGAAATTTAAAAATAAAAAAAGAGAGAATAGTTAAGAAACCAATATCGAGAAACCAATTCATGAGAATGTATACATATTACGTATAATACATCCGATATAATTATCCTGTCATGAATTAGATGACTTTCCTGGCTTGAGTACGTAAGAATGTCTATTCATCGTGAATATATGTATAACCGGATACAAATAATGATAGGATTCCGCCAATTTTCTTGCTTTCTATTCAGAATATTCAATTTCAAATGTTCAATTCGATATATTCGATTAAAAATATTTTTATATAAATATTATATCTTTTTTTTTTTAATTTAATTATTATATTAATATGAACTTTCCTTTCCTTCTCAAAGTTTTTTAACTTCACTAGAACAAAAATATTTTAATATGCAAAATATATCATCAAAATAAATTTTTGTTATTAATAATTTGAATACTAATATATACTATATACTAATATAAATACGTAAAGAAAATTGCGCATTAACTCGATATATATAACTCGATTATGTATAACTCACGATTAAACCTTTCATGATTTAAATTTTGCCACTTTAACAAGGCGCAAAGCAACATTGAGTTGAGTTTTCAGATACATGTCAACATATACATATAAATTTAACAAGAATCGAGTTATGTCATTAATCGGGTGATCAATTATGTTGTTCACGCACCGTGAAGCGAGACCGGGGAAAATATGAAAACTATCGAGCCACCCGATGAAAATCGAGTAAAACTGGCTATTCATTATTCATTATTCGGAGGGATGTACTTGCATTTCACTGAAATCGCTTTCATTAGCGTGCTTTGACTAAGGAACTTGAGTAAAGAAAAAAAAGGCTGCAGTATATGTATCTCTTCCTCTTCTTTCTTGTTTATGTGCCGCGCTTGACGAAGCGTATTTTAATATAATAGAGCGTACATATGACGCGCATATGAATTTTGGTCGCATCGACTGTCTGCAATCGAAGAAAGTAAGCCAACGACATGATTGGCAATTTTCCAATATGCATGTTAAACCTGAGAAAGAATAAAAATAGATGACAATGAGAAATAATTTTGAACGAAAGTATTTAACAGCATGATAATTTTTGTACAAGTTTAGGCTTAAGATTTTATATCCAATTGAAATAATAAAAATTTATACGATTAATTTATATATATCATAGGATTATTGTCTCTATTGTCAATATTAGAATTAGAAAATTTATGTATTATATAATATTATATAATTATATGGAATTAGAA